ATTTTATTTAGGCCTATCTATGGCCTTCAAAAAGTTGACGACTCTACATGTTTCGACGTTACAACGTCATCCTCAGGAGTGACCACTTTAATGTTGAACATTATTTATGATTTTAATGTTAAGCACACTTTTACCAAGATGCGTCATTTAGCCTACACACAAACCTAAAATTACATTACCAAAAAAATGTAACAATTCTGTACGTCTTAAACATGATTCCAACCCAAATACCTTTAGATTTACTAAAGAAGGTTTAAACAAGTGTAACACCATAGTTTTTACAATGAAGAAATTTTCCCGATAGGACTTGAAAAGACATTTGCACAAACATCTGTTCAGATCATCTCTAAATCAATACAAAAAAACTTATATTTCATACACACAGTAATTGTATAAAACTGTTGATTATTTAACAGAGACTATTAAATAAAAACCACAAAATTTAAACTTATAAAATTGCTGCAACATCTTAAGAGAAACCTTGATTAGGTTAAATAAATATAAACCTGATAATTTTTGAAGAGAACTGTTTGGTGCTCCTCCACTTACGAATACAGCTGAGACAAAAAATGTGATTACATTTCTCTAATATCCCAAATCGTCTTTCATTTGGTGGTTCTTTTTCCATTATGGTATCCATACATATCCCGCAGCACTTTTCAATACTTCGCTGAACAGCAAAGGAGAGTTCCATGTCTCGTTCCAACTCTTTCAAGCAATCCTGTCAAAGTATAATAATAATAGCACAAACGTGAAATTTAAAACATTGGTTAAAGATTCCTATAAAGCTCTAAGATATTGCTTCATGACAAGTTACGTATTTGAGTGTAAAACACAGATAGCATTTAACAACTTAATGGCAAAGTATCAAGTTCAACATTTTTTTCTATAACACCCAGTCTCAAATTCAACGAGACCAAATTTAAGGGGGGGGGGGGCTACAGAGAGTATCATGTTTCTGGGTGTTCAAGTTAAAACCAATAAAGAGAAAATATATATCAATAAAGGGCTTGATCTGTTAACCCCAAAACCACACTTTACTGAATTTACTCCTCAATGATGTTTGGCCATGAAGATATGGACTTTAGGGGTTTGGCCAGACTTTTGTTCATCTTGTAGGAAGCAGTAACGGAATTTGTGTTCAGGCAGGTACTGCACTTAGTCACCTTACAGCAGCAAGTATGCTTCAGTAAACTTACTCAGTCATTTCTATCAACAGAACTTGTACAAACCAGGTTGTCCTTATAGTATCTGATCTGCCCAACAACTGGTTTGTATAAGTTCTGTTGATAGAAATGGCTGAGTAAGTTCATTGAAGCATACTTGTCCTTATGGTATCTGATCTGCCCAACAACTGGTTTTTACAAGTTCTGTTGATAGAAATGGCTGAGTAAGTTCATTGAAGCATACTTGTACTTATGGTATCTGAACTACCCAACAATGAACTTACTCAGCCATTTCAACAACTGGTTTTTACAAGTTCTGTTGATAAGGCAGATCAGATACCATAAGGACAAGTATGCTTCAATGAACTTACTCAGCCATTTCTATCAACAGAACTTGTACAAATCAGTTGTTGGGCAGTTCAGATACCATAAGGAGTTTAAATATCTATTTAAAACTTGAAAAAACAAAAGTAGCAAAAACCTTTGTTTGAGAATTATACATGTTGTCCTGGGTATTAATACTGTACTTTGATTACTTATAAAAGAAAAAAAATTATTATCTTGAAAGTTGTTCTACAACCCTTTAAAGAACTTATTGCCAGTAATCCATAATAAGACTAGACCTTATCTATGGTCATAATCAGACTTTAGCTGGGGAATCAAAAATGATCCAATACTCAGAATAAAACAGCTTCTAATAAGTTTCCTAGAATACAACATCCTTGTTATCGACAGAATGATAATATTTTGAAATACAAAACATCTTTTTTAACTCGTTGCAAACACAGCCTAAGGCCACATATTTCAAGCTAGCCTACTCCTCCCCCAATAGTCTGTTAACTAGAGTATTTATTATTAAAATCTAGTATGAATAAACTGAGCATATAAAATCAATTTAGTTTTCTTCCAAATACAAAATAGTGTCAAAACAAACAAAACAGAGAATATACCACAGTTAAAAGATATTTATAGTCCTAACAGAATACTAAAAACATTACTGTAATAAGCAGTGTTTATTACGGTATCAAGACTTTCACTGTTTTCTCACCTAGTCACACAATACTATAAACACAAGTATAAAAAGCAATATATATTACACTTTCAAGACTTTTACTGTTACAGAATACTATAAACCTAAATACAAACAACCATATATGTGACATTTTAAAGACTTTTACTGTTACAGAATACTATAAACCTAAATACAAA